CCCAGGCTGGCCTCGAACTCACAGAGATCTGCCTGGCTCTGCCTCCCAAGTGCTGGGATTAAAGGTGTGCACCACCACCGCCTGGCACTTCTAAGGATTTTTAAACAATATTTTAAAAAAAAAATTATAAGACTTGCTTTTATTCTTCATAGTAACAGTTTAACTTACAGGCAAGGAATGACCATAAGAGAGCTGGACTCAGTGATGTTTACATTTTATTTACATCAGTAGCACTAAAATACATTACGCCTTGTGGGTCACATTTCCACAACACACATTAATACCAATCCACACTCCACGGTAACTGCCCACACCACCTCCCATCAAAACCAAGCAAACACTTCATGGCCGTGCCCTCAAACCTAACGTGACCCTGTCCCAGGCTCCTAGCTATGGCAGTGCCCATAACTCACAAAACTCCCCCTTTCTACAATGCCGGACCCAACTGCTGGCATCTCAAGTCCACCAACACTTTTGATAATGCCCTCCCTTCTAAGGAGACAAAGTTCGAGTAACAGATGCCCGAGGCCAAGAGGAAGGAACATCCCCAAGAGGCACCGTGAAGCCCAGAAGTGAGGCGGCATCAGAACTACTTGGTGCTCAGTGCAAAGGGCAGGTTAGGGGGCAGCATGCCATGGATTTGACAGGATGGTGCTTGTGAAAGGGACAGTACTTGCAACAGGACGAACTAAGGTCAAGCTTCTTGCTTGATAGCTGATTATTCTGCATATACCTGTGTGTGCCCTGTGTTGGTGTAAATAGCCAGTGGCATGGACCTACAAAAGCTAGAAATGGTGTTGATAGGCAAAACCATTTGACTGAAGGACAAATATTTCTCCAAGAAGAAAAGATGAGATTTCCCCCAAAAAACTAAACTATATTTGGTGTCAATTCTGACATCTGGAGAAGATTAAGAATTGAACAATAAAAATAAGGAAAGACTACATCTGAAGTGGCTCATGATGGACTCTTGTTGCCAGAGAGCTGAATCCAAAGCACCCCGACAGCCATGGCTCAAGGTGCAGCTTACATTACCTGTAAGTTCCGCTGTACTAAAACTGCACACTGTACCACTGCCAGGAGACAGTCTGTCATGAACACATACCCAGCTCCCTACTGAACCCTACTGGACTCCTACAGCCACAAATACTTCAGTGCTTGGAGCAGGGCTTGGACTGCTAAAAAGAACAAGGCAGATCCTTACAACAAGAGGAAAAGGCTACAGATTTTGGTGCTGGGTAAAAGCAAAGTTACAAGGCTGAGGCTGTGTAACCAGCTTATACTATACAGGCCACCCGGCATTGTCACCTCCATCTCCAACACCCCTGATCCTACCTATAGATCCGATCCGTGGGCACACGTCCATAATCCTGCTAAGTGAAGTGGCCCAGAGCCGTGTACATGTGCACCACACACGAGAGCAGCTGCTGTGGCTGCCGCCAAGTCCAGCCTAGTGGTTCCCTTTGGTCGACTTCTTCAAGTCCCCTTTCTGCTTCTGCTTCTTCCTCTTGCCACCTTTCTTGTGCCCTGCTGAGGTCATGGGGACATCCCAGTTGCCAGAAACCCGCTGCCTGAACTGCTCTTCATCTTCCCAGTTGCTTTTGGACACAAGTTTGACGGTCCGGGCAGGCTTGGGTGGCTTCGTGGGCGGGTGCTGACAGAAGGGGCTGGAGTCTGGGCTGGAGCTGGGGCCTGGGCCGGGACGGGTAGGGCGCCCGAACTGATGCTGGGGCCGGGCCAGAGGCCAGAACTGCTGTGTGTTGGCCTCTCCGCTGGCATTCTTCGTCAAGGACTTTAACTGTCCGTCTTCTTCAACTTCTACTCTTTCTTGACCATTCTCCACAACTCTCTTTGTAGTATTTTTTTTTTTTTTTGCCATTAACTATCTTAGTAGAAGTTGATATTGATTTGAAATTGCCCATTCCGCTACCGCCAAATGATGCTGAAGAGAATGAAGTGATACCCCCATGCCCCAGTGAGCCGAATGGAGTGAATCCTGTATCAAAATCAGGAAATCCAACTGGGCTGTGGTGGCGCATGCCTTTAATCCCAGCACTCGGGAGGCAGAGGCAGGTGGATCTCTATGAGTTCGAGGCCAGCCTGGGCTCCAAAGCAAGTTCTAGGAAAGGCGCAAAGCTACACAGAGAAACCCTGTCTTGAAGAAAAAAAGAAAAAAAAAAAAGCAGGAAATCCCACCCGCCCCCCAAAAGGAGGAAATCCACGGAATGCAGAGAAAAACGAGCCTGCACCCCGGTTTCTGCTTCCTCGGGGACCCCTTGGGTTCCCAAAAAAAGTCATCAAATGGGTCTTCAAAGAGGTCAAATGAAAATGGGTCCGTTCCACCAAAAAATTCCCTTAAGACATCATCTGGATTCCGGAATGTGAAGCCAAACTCAAACGGACTTTCAAAATGGCTTCCACCTCCTTCTCCTCCGTTACCATTTAATCCTTCTTTGCTGTATTTGTCATAGATATCCCACTTTTTTGCATCCGATAACACCTCATATGCCCCAGCTACTTGTTTGAATTTCCGCTCTGCTGTTTCTTTATTTTCAGGATTTTTGTCCGGATGCCATTTAAAGTGCCTGTTCCGATATGCCTTTTTTTTTTTTTTTTTTTTTTTTTGGTTTTTCGAGACAGAGTTTCTCTGTGTAGCTTTGCGCCTTTCCTGGAACTCGCTTTGGAGACCAGGCTGGCCTCGAACTCACAGAGATCCACCTGGCTCTGCCTCCCGAGTGCTGGGATTAAAGGCGTGAGCCACCACCGCCCGGCCTGATATGCCTTTTTAATGTCCTCAGTTGAGGCATGTCTCTGCACGCCCAGAACTTCATAGTAATCCACCATGTTTTAACAGACTGTTGGAACAAATCCGAGGGGGCGGCAGCCGGTCTCCTCGCGGCTCTGACACAGCTGCGCTGGTGGCGGTGGTGGCTTTAAACAATATTTTTATTGATTCTTCAAGAATTTCATACAATGTATTTTGATAATATTTACCTTCCTCCAATTCTCCCATAAGCAGCCTCTCCACACTTTATTTCTACCCACCTTTGAGATGACTTCCTTTTCTGTTTTTGTTTCCCCATCAAGCCTTGTTTGTTGCCAGCTAGTCCTGGGATTGAGGACTGATCTTGCGTGTGGTCAGCCTACCAGGGCTCTCTCTTCTAACAGCCATCAAACACTGATACCCCCCAGCTAAGGGTGGGATCCCTGCCCACCTTCCCCACTCAGTGCTGGGATTTTGTCTGGCTGGAGCTTGCTCAGGTCTTGTGTATGTTGTCAAAATCATTGTGAGTTCCTATGTTCAGCTTCCCTGTTGTGTCTGAGAAAAACTTTTCTTGATTTTATTTAGCACCGTTGACACTTAGAATCTTTCTGTTCCCCCTTTTGAAAAGATCCATGATCCTTGTGGAAAGGGGAATGATATGTATGTCCCATTTAGGGCTGAGCACTCCATGGTCTCTTATATTCTCAGCACATGACCAGTTGAAGGTCTCTGTGTTAATTGCAATCTACTGCACTGAAAAGCTTCTCTGATGGGGATAAGAGGTGTTTTCATCTATGGGTATATCAACAAATCATTAGGAGTTATGTTAATACTGTGTCCATTTAACAGAATTATAATATTGGGTTTGCTCCCAGAGTAGCAGTTCTTAACCTGTGGGTTACAACCCTTGTGTGGGGTCAAATGGCTCTTTCACAGGGGTTGCCTAAGATTATCAGAAAACACATATATTTACATTATGGTTCTTCATTCATAACAGTAGCAAAATCAGTTATAATAAAGTAGCAACAAAAATAATTTTATGGTTGGGAGTCACCACAACTTGAGGAATTGAATTAAAGGGTCACAGTATTAGGAAGGTTGAGAACCACTGCCCTAGAACTTATGACTTTTCAAGCCACAGGTTCTTGGTCCCTTTAATGTGGGCTCTAATGTGGACTCGCACTGGGGAGTTATCTCGTCAGCGGTTATGGAACTTTTGAGAGGCGGTTAGATCATAACAACAGAGAGCACCCCAGTTTTCCTTTGCTCCTATATTTGAGAATCATAAGAACTGTTACCCATGAAACGGAAGGTCCTTACCAGCCACTGAATCATACTCACCTTGATCTCCTACTTGACAGCCTCCAGAATTGGCAAAACTCAATGTCTGTGGTATGAGGTTCCCCCATCCACGATGCATGAACAAAATAAGGCACTCACCTAATTCAGAGACCAAAGTGCAGTGTTGAAACTGAGCCATAAAATGGTAACTCCCCTACTCCTAAAAACCACTTCAGCTATTTTTTAGGGGATAGGCACAGAATACCAGGACTTGACCTAAAATAATGACCTCAAGAGTCTTGTGAAACCAAAGTCTTTAATGAGTAGACTGAAACCAGAATAGGGGCTTTGGGGATCTGTAATAGAAATAAGAGTGTGAACAATTATGAAACAGATCAGAATCATCCTTAAGTGCCACCTAGATACAGTCAACAGCTTAACTGGCCACTTCAGTTCCCTTGCTACCGACCAAATGTGACCAATTTGAACATGCCTGTCTGTCAGTTAGTCTTCATTGAAGTGGACTCTCCCTCTCCATTTTTATCTCTATCACAGGGTCTAGGGTATCCCAGGCTGATCTGAACCTTGATATGTACCTAAGGATGACCTTAATTGATCTTCCTGCTCTCACCTCCCAAGTGAAGGGATTACAGGCTTGTAACACCACACCAAGTTTATGCAATGCTAGACACAGAACCTAGGGCTTCATCCTTGTTAAACAAACACTCCCAACTGAGCTATAACAGCCTTAGTCCAAAGCTCTTCCCTTCTGCGACCAGGTGCTATGGTGTTGGTTTCTATACAGTTGGGGAGTGAACTTTCTCTGGGTGTGGGATAATCAGTGAAATGGTCTTCAGAACCCTCAGACATTACCATTAGGGGTAGGGGCAAAGCTGCTGTGTTTCCACACAAAGGAGATTAATCTATTCTGTTAGAGGGTAAATCAAATTAAGAGTGGACTTAGAAAGTTTTTTTTTTTTTCTTGTGGGAAGGAAACATGGAAAGTCTGTTTCCAGTGCCTCCTTGACCTCAACTCAGTGTAATACCCAAGGGCAGGCAAGCCATTGAGTTTTTACCTTTCAGGTGCCTTGTGGATCTTACTTTCTGTTACCTCCCACTTTAAAAAAAGTCGGGCGGTGGTGGCATACGCCTTTAATCCCAGTACTTGCCTTTAATCCCAGCACTCGGGAGGCAGATCTGTAAATTCGAGGCCAATCTGATCTCCAAAATCGAGTTTCAGGAAAAGTACAAAGCTACAGAGAAACCTTGTCTCAAAAAACCAAAAAAAAAAAAAAAATTCCATCTCTGTTACACATGAACTGGTTACCTTTTTGTATAGATACAGAACTTGGGGTGACCAGGGGCACACCTAGCTAGGCAGAAGGGTAAAGCTTGCCAAGGAGCAATGGTTCACAATATCATGGCTGAGCCAAGTATTCAAACTAACACACTGCAGCATTCGAAGTGGCAGTGCTTACATGTCAGGAGTAAATTTTGTCAAAAGTATTATGGACTGGATTGTGTTGTCCTCCCCCAAGATGGTCTTGTACTAACACCCTAGGAGCTACAAATGGAAACCCACTTGCAAACAGGGTCTTTGCAGATGATCAAGTGAGGATGAGGCCATTTGGAGGAGGCTTCACTCCACTAGAACTGCTGTCCTAATAAAAAGGGTAATTGAGGTACACCAAGTGAGGGGAGTGAGAGAGTGTAAGGGGAGAGAAAGAGGGAGGGAGGGAGGCAGTCAGGGTGAGCAATGAGTGAGGGGGTGAGAGGGAAAGAGTGCAAGTGAGCAATCAAGCACTAGAGAGGGGAGGCAGAGAGGGAATGTAAGTGAACAAGTGAGCACAAGACAGGGACAGGGAGGGAGGGGGAAGAGGGAGTAGAGCGAGGGGCAAAGGGGGAGAGAGAGAGACAGGAAGACACGAAGACAGGTGTTACCCTTCCTCAAGCCAAGGAATAGCCAGAAGCTAAAAGCCAAATAAGGATCAAATCTTTTGCTAGAGGGAACAAAACTCTTAGCTTTGTGTTTTTGGCGTTCAGAACTGAGGATAAAATTCTGTTGTTTAAGCTGCTCCATCTGTAGCCTTAGTTATAGCTACCTGGCAAGCTAAGATGGTGAGCAAAGGTCATGTATCAGAGACAACTCAGAGCAAGAGCAAACATCTCACCTGCTCAAGGGAGTGGCCACCATCAATTCACACAGAAGCAGCACAGAGTACAAGGGCTCTCTGAGTCAGTGTGGAGCACTGCCTTCATCCCAGCAGCACAGAGTACAAGGGCTTTTCTGAGTCAGTGTGGAGCACTGCCTTCACCCCACTGCAACCCTGGCTCACCGTGATCACCTACAAGTCACAGGAGATGAACTTTCCAAGGAAAAGTTTTTGTTATTCAAATAGAACTCAGTAAAATTCAGAACTGAGAACAAGAGGGGCTTTGGGGAAGGAAGGAATGGTGATTAAGTAAAATGGGAAATGGGTATTTCCACTTAACCTTTGCTTTCACGTCTCCTACTTGTGAATTTCGGTCCATGACCATGGGAATATGCAACAATTGGAAACACAGTTGCAAAGTTGGTAGTAGGTGGAAGCCCCAAAAATGCCAGGGAAAAACGAGGTCCACATGGTGCCTGGACCAATAACATCAGTCTGTTGGGAGGATGTTACCAAGGTAAATTTTGAGCTGTCCCATGTCTACAAGATGAAGGACCCTGGGTGGGAGCCCAGGCACATGCATTCTAACAAGCCTTCCAAGGAATTCTGATCTGCAGAAGTTTGAGAACAGCCTGGCTAGGCAAAGTACACAAGAAAGAGAAATGGGCAAGGCAGCAAAATCTCAAATAATGCCCTCATATACTACTTTGCTACATATACTACATTTTATACTACATGCCACACTTCAAAAACAGATAAAATCAAATTATGAAATGATTATATGTTAGATTTTATCTGAAAGTCTATAAAC